TCTTCATCATCCTCACTCGAGTCGATTTCCTCTTCTCGGTTGAGTCGTGCCAACTCCAATTGAGACTTGGCTAAGGCAGCAGCTGCCTGTGCTCGTTCGAGCTCTGAGCGTTCGAATTTAATCCGCGCCTCTAATTCGGCTTTCAGCCTCGCCGATCGCGATGACCTACTACCTCTCTGTGACCCTTTATCACTAGTGTGCCCGATTACTGTCCTTGACGATGCCGCTTCTTCGGTCCTTTGACCTACTTTTTCGACCACCGTTTCACTCCTGGATATAACGGATTGTTGTGCGGTGCTGGCCTGTGTACCACTGGTGTCCGTCCGGTTGCTCGTCGTTGCCATGGACGTCCCTGAGTCCCACGTGCATGTGGACGTGTCTGTGGTGGCTCCACTTGAAGGAGTTGCTCCATTTGACGCAGTAGCTGTGGTCGCTCCAGATGATTCCGCTTCTTTAGCTTTTCTTGAGAGCCCTGTCCTTGTCCTGCTCCCTTCGCTTCTCCCTGTCTGGTCTTGTGCCTTCTTCATCTTGCAGGAAGGTGATTGTTGGCCTACGGTCCCTAACTGTCCCTACAGTCCCTACGGTCCCTACAACCCCTTACCTACAACCCTTCTACACCCCAACCTAATACCACTACCCCTCCCCCCTTTATCTCCCAACCCTACAACCCTACTACCACCCTAACAGCCCTATCAGCCCTATCAATCCTGAACGGGGCCTACCGAGGTGAGCCGTCCAGGGATGGAGTCGTGCAGGAATGGAATGGAGGAAAGGTTTAGGAACTGTCCCGCCAAGGAATATGACGAAACAGTCGAGCGGTAGTGCAAGCGCAGTCTCGCTCGAGAGAACTGCTCCACCCGAAGGTGTTATGCCAGAGCCCAACCGTTTGGCACCGTTAGGTGGTCGGGATGTATGCTGTGCTCGCCGCCCAGTTGCCGGTGACGCCTCGTCCAAGCGCCCTCCTCCGGCCGCGATGCAGTCAGGTGCCCACGCGCACCCTCGCCCGGCAGCAGCAGCGGTGGATGCTTTTTGCACCCTGATGACCCGACGGGAAATGCCGGACACGGTCGTCCGACAGGAAATGCCAGACACGATCGTCTGACAGGAAATGCCGAGCACGCTTGCCCGACAGGAAAAATGCCAAGCCCTGCTTGGCCACGATGAGTGCCTTCACAAGACACCTGCGCCCGGCTGCGATATGTGCCCCATGCGAGCACACGCCCCAAGCTGCAATCCCGCTTTTCTTTCTTCCGGTAGTTCCAGGTCCAGCCCTTCAGTGCTGCCGTCCTGGTCTTCAGGCCTTTGGTCCTATTGCTTCAGCTCAAACCTCTGGCTTCCTTCGGTTGCTGATCTTCACTCGGCTTCCGAAGGTCTTCTTCTTCCACAACCAGCAGTCCACAGCTGGTTCCTTGATCCAGCTGGCGGGGTTCGGGTGGTCTTCGATCCGGCTCCGAAGGACCAATTGAAAAGGAACTCAGGTCGGACGTCCTCTCAATCCGGCCGCGAAGGACCAATTGAAAAGGACCAGGTCGGTGTCCCTCTTGATCCTGAAAAGGACCAATTGAAAAGGACCTAGCGGATCGGGTACTAAGAAACAGGAATCGAGGCTTCTCTCGATCCGGCCTCCTATCACGCCTACGTTGGGTTCGGGAACAACGTATGTGATCTCCGCAACGGAGTAACACACTAGGGCGATAACCTCTTCCTTTTCAGCAAGTAGGTTCAGACGGGGATTACGGGTCTTCCGAAGTCGTCCCGGTCCCGACGCCTTAATTCTTCGATGTGGACTGTATAACTTAAAGGATCTTGGGAATGAAACAGCAATTATCTTCAAACCGTTCCGTGAGAGAGTAATCACTTTTCCCTATACTGCTGGTTTTCACTTTTCTTGAACTTTTTCCCGGATTTTCTTATTTATTTCCGAACTATTTCCTTGAATATTTCCCGAACGATTTCCGAACTTCCCCGAACTATCTCGAAGGATTCCCGAACGAATTGCAATAAAACCCGTTCACTAAGCTACCCCAGAGCTATACGCGAAAGTGAGCCGCGCCATCTGCGCGCTTGCGCAACTTAATTACATGAATTTGTACTATTACTCTCTCACGTTTCACTCAATATCTTTATTTATTCAAATCATATACAAATACAATTTATCAATATAGGTAGTACAAAACAATATCTACACCATGATATACATCATATCTTCATATCATAAAAAACCTTTTATTTATTAAACGAAAACTGCCTATTTTACTCACAAGTTCGAAATCGAAATTTCTTAAATATTTAACACAGAAAGTTAAAACAATGTTTCTCACTTGAATTTATACATAAGCTAACCAATACAATAGTTTAATTTACATTTTTTCTATTTATTTCACTATTTAAAACACTTTTAAATTTCTTATACAAAACTATCATTATTTCACTTATACACAGGAATTTTCACATGAAAATAACACAGAATTTACCTTTTTTAGCACGTACAATTAACCTGAAATATTTTACAAGTAATTTTTACATAAATCACTGAATTACAAACATTTTAAATTTTTACATATTCGGCCTCCTAAGGGCGTGGCCAGCGTGCGTCTATGAACTCACACTATTTGAACAACTAACTTTTGCACGGCTCTCGGCTATCAGAAAAAATGAAAGTCTGATATACACCAATTTTAACCATATTAGGCAAATTAAATGCTTTTATACAATTTTCGAACTGTATGAAACTATCTTTAATCAGATAACAATATAAATGAATGTTCTCATTAATCAATCATAACAAATAGGCATTTGTTTTCGTACAAAACGTATCAAACTTATACAAAACAACATTTATGCGATTAATATCCATTAATTCCGCCTATGCACAGAGTGATTATCTCGACCGGGGAACAAATCCGATCTTTAACTTCACTTTAATATTCTTATGAATTTACATCATTTGAAAGATGATTTCAACCGGGGAACAAATCCGGTAACATAATTTATATCTTAAACTCCTTACGAATTTATTAAGCGATATTACTTAGGAAAACAAACAAACTAGTCCGGCCTGGGAGTCGAACCCAAGACCTTCATATCATTAATTCGACATTTCTTAAAGATTTAACTAAGCATTCTCTTATCAGAGCGTCGTTGCTCGTGACTGCCCCTTTTTTCATTGCAACGTCATCGGTTGATTTAATAAACTGAAACATTTTTATAGGCGCGTCGCCAACAGCAAGTTTCCTGGGACATAGCGGCCAACAAATTGTTCCCTATGTATTGAGGAGATAAGTCATTTCTATTTCTAATGAAATAATCCATGAATACAACAATGAACAAATATAAAAACTCTTTATAGATATCTAAAATTTCTTGACTCTGGTGGTATTTTTAATAATGTATATTTCAGTTAATGTAATATAATAAAATTATTGGCGATATATTAGTTTTATTGTCATGTTATTTCCCCATAATTCTTGTTAAGATCATATCGACTTTCATTAAAATGAGTTCACATATTTTTAGGTATCATAAAACATTATTAAAAATTAAACTAACAAAACAAGGGTCCTTGTTTTGTGCGGTGAAATTTATTTTAATTCTAATCACTTAAAATCACTTTCAGTAATACTTATACATATACTATAACATCATTTATTTAATAACAACATTAATATTTATCAAAGCATATAAACCTAGCATACACGGCTATAAAAACTAATAACGTTACTTGGTAACATAAACTTAATACCTACATGAATAGAATAGTAATAATATGTACGTTAAGATATCAGTAATATTCATATATTAATTGAAATATTATATCACTTGACGAATATACTCATATTAACTAATACCGACAAATATCGGTATTACTACTAGCCCTCGGCCAGGGCAGTCGGCGACTGCCCGTTCCACGCCCCGCGCGCCTCTCAAGGCCCCCGCACACATCCAGCACCCCGCACACATAGCCGAAAGCGATTTTACGTGCACACATGCTTAAGTGTCGTTTCTTTTCGCGTAGTGTATATATTCTTTGATTTCGGTCTGGTAATTTTGCTTTTGTTTTCCTATATATAAAAAAGTACTCTGTGCTTTTGTTGTTGACAATGACAATTTGACATTTTGTTTTTTTTTTTAGGTTTGAGCTTTGAGTGCATTTGAGCATCGGGTGTATCTATATCTAGTTAGTTTGTGCATTTGAGTAAAATAAGGATGAGTAAATATGCGCGCGCTGTACCTGGTCAAAATCAATAAACGAAGAGACGAGGAAATCTAGATTTAGGTCTCATCTCTTTCACCCAGGCCGTAGTTGTGCGAGATTTTAGCTCTATCCTGCACCTATATTTGATGTTATCGATTGTGTTTCCGTCCGTTTTAGTAAGTGCGAGCGACGGGCATTCAAATGCAGGGCAGTTTCAAGATACAGCTGATAAATATGGGTACTCGGGCAGCGGCATGTAAGCAAAATATAACTTAGGCATTGCTTTATTGCCACAATATATTAATTGCGCTGCTGCTGTGGTATAAAGGAAAGTTAGATGCATAATATGTGTTAAAAATATATTAAATGTGCCGAAAGTATTACGTTAAAAAATCAAATTTTCTGTTATATTAAGCACTATTTCTTCTGCAAACCTGCTGTGATATAATGCAGATATGATGTATACAATTTCCTGTTAATTATGGTGTCTTTTTGAAACCACATAATATGTGCTTATTACAATATTGTGAAAATTAAAAAAAATAACCTACACCTATGTGTATATTGAAAATAGCTGCGTGAGTAATTGCATTTATTCTTTATATATATTATATTTATTCATTATTAAATTGTTCCCCAATAAATATTCATTTTATCAGTGGTTCAAATAAGTATTTTATGAGGTCTACCTTTCCCTTTGCCAAGGCAACCTTGCATGCCCATTTAAATAATTTCTTTTTCAGAGGATCGTAAGGGACTGTTTCTGATCCGGCCTCATTCTTAGTGAAAGCTTTTTGTGTGTGTAATGCAGTCCACGCCGTACGATATGCAGCTTCTTATGGAGCCGCTGAATCAGAAAGGTGAGCTCGTTGTGACGGGCTATGTTTGTTGTCTATCTGTCGCACAGACCTCTGTTTCTCCCCTCTCCCCACTCCCACAAATGCTTTGTCAGAGCATCAGACTGCAATAATCTCCATTCTTTTGTGTTTAGTGCTATATGTGTCTTGAAAACTGATTATGAGATGTTTTTATATATATCTATTAATGTTTCCTTCAGTTTTAAGCATAAATGCTTATGAAAACACTAAAATATCTCTGTCCATGTTTAAAAAATAACTAATTGGTATTTAGCCGACAATTAATTATATTATAAAATTATATAAATTTTTGTTTCCTTATACATGTTTATCACGGAGAACAATATTAATAATGTAAATTATGTTTGCAATATTAAAGTTTGTACTTGTGATAAGAATATTTCAGCCTAGGATATCATCTGGGCCCCTTTTACCTATTTCGGCCATCAAACAAAAATGCAAGCACTGGTGTATTTCATTTTGATAGGTATAGAGAGTCAGTATAATTACAGACTGGGCCATTCCATCTTAAGGTAGGTCTATGTTAGAAGGGCTGAGCACGAGAGTTGAGCTCAAGTTGACCATGCTGCAAGCCGAGCATACAACATGCAACATGCATGCAGTGCAAATCCCATGGTGACCAAAAACCGACAATAGGTGGAGCACAGTCGAGCATGAATTAAACGGTCGAAGTATGTTTGTTTGAGGGTTGTAAGTCAGTCCACACTACACAAATTTGTGCTCGGCTCATGCTCCACTTGTGCTCGACTCGTCTAGCATAGACCAACCTTTAGTCCTCATTTGACAACACATCTGTAGCCTTCTTCGTTGGTTACAGGTGTTCATGAGCTGCTGTGGTGAATACTAAGTCTGTTTGTAATTTCAATTTTGTTAAAAGAAATTAATAATAAGGCACTATTTTTTCTTTATATTTGCACGGAAACCTGAGTGAATGTGATGCCTATTGTGTTTTTCCCATATCTGTCATTTTGATGTATTATGTATTTTAATATAGCATTCACTTTATTCCTGTGTTACTTTAGATATTTGTGTGTTGAAAACAAATGCAGTGTTAGGTGTAAATAACAATACAAATTGGTGTAATAGTACAAACTGTTGTTTGTATGTATATATTTGTATATATGTATTTTTGGTAGTGTGGCATACAAGTCAATCAAATAAAACAAATTTGACAGATTTTATCATGTTAATTTAACTTACATTTAATTCGCGACATTTTGGGAGTCACACATTCCAAGAATGATTTGCAAGGCTATTCTAATTAAGAAATATCCAATTTTTAACATAGAAGATGGATCTACGATATGCTTGGCGTCCTATAATTAATAAATTTAAATCCAAACCCAAGCATACCACTGTAAGACTATTCAGATACTGTATAGACAATTCAAGATACTGTAAGCTCTTTCTGCATAAATCAGATGAAAAATTAATATTCAAAAGCTGAAGGTTGCCGGGCTAACTAGGATATCAGGACATCAAACACCTCAGTTCCCCCCGTGACCATAAAGCTTCCAAAAAAGTTGGGTATTACATATAAGTTAAATTCAAAAATGATGAAATCTGTAAAATTAGTTTTATTCAATGTCAAGTGTTCATGTGAATATAAGAGATCATCATACATGTCATACATGTCATTTTATTTCAATTCTTCAGTTTAACAAAATGGTTATATGATGATTATTATTTATGGAAGTTGGTGTTAACGGGCAACAGTGACCATGCTGCTTTCAGGAACTCTGTATGTTTATTTGTTACCTTAAATGTAATAAATAGTGTTATGTACAATACATTAAAATTCGCTATTATATTTTCAGTAATTATTGCTATGTTGTCAATATTAATGTAATCTTAATATATTTATAACAATTAATTGGTACATAAAATGGAACGGGTTTTGTAATTTGCACTTATATTTACCCGATTGCCCTAGAAAGAGGGTAGTGTGTTTAGAGGGTATGTATGTATGTTAGCCTAAGCAGCTTGATAGATTTTAACATATAGGATATCATTAAATTAATTTTAGTTGTGATTCTACACAGTCGGGTCTTCAAATAACTTTTAACCATAGGGCTTGTATAATAATTTTTTACTTTGAAAATCTTACACAACTCTTAAGACAACCAAAACTGTTTTACTACAACTTAAAAATAGTTATGTAAATTCTGTAAATACTAGGAAGCACAATTTAGTTTTACCAGTTACTCAACTACCAAAGAGTCAGTAATTCCTTCATGGGGCAATGTATACGCTTTTACAACAAATTACCAGAAAATATGCAGGCCTTATCTATCAAAAAGTTTAAAATTTTATTGAGCAGAAATTGTTTAGTAAGGGTTATTACAATACTAAAGAGTACATGATTGATAATAACCGCTGGGAATCAGGTCATCACTACCATGCTGTTTCTAATGTCTTCATACCAATTGTATAAAATAATATAATGAAAATTGATTTTATTAAAAAAAATCCTGCTGGGTTATTACTTGCTGCTTCTTCCTAGGGGAGTGATTTTTTTCCGAACTAGTAATAAAACTATATATATTGAATAAAACTGACTCCACTCTACTTAATAGTATTTTATAACTCTCTTATTATATTTCTTTTGTTATACACAATTACAAATTATACAAAATTAAATGTATAAAAAGCAATATTTGTTTGTTGGTATTTTATGCGCTGCCATACCATTCATCGGATTTTGGTTAAACTTTGTCAACATATTGCTTAGACATCCGCGAACGTCATAGTTATAGTTCGACCCGGTAGCTGGCGCTGTTATAGAATCCAGATGTCACCCATGCGAAGCCGGGGCAGATCACTAGTCAATTATAAAAAAAATCACACAAAGACCTAACAGTAATGGCAAATATAAAATCTACTTTTAATTGTCTCTGGCTCACCTTTCTTTCAGGACTGGGCTAATTATAATTTGCCTTCTGCCTTTGCCTTTTTTGTTACTTAACACATTTTCTTAAGTGTTGTTATTTTTTCTATATTATTATGTTTTGCTTGATTTTAAATACTGTTATTCTTTTAGGAGCTGTAGTACAATTAGTATGTGTTTAGAATCTTGTATATTTTTTTTGTATTGCATGTATAATTGACTCCTTCAATAGGTCAGTTGTGGTTGTAAAAAAATATTGAGATGTAGTAAATAAATGTGTTAATAGATTTTTGACTTTTATTTTTTGTTGCTGGCCCCTTTATGTAGTAGTATGGTATTCTAGTCTAGTTAATTTTAATTAGTTTGAATTGATAATATGGAATGATCTTTATTACAATTCTGCTAATTTTTAGTGTATACTTACTTAGATATTAATTTATTAAATACCTTTATATTTTCAGTGATCTATTATCATACTTATATATAATAGTTTGTGTCTGATAATTACATATTTATAAGTGGCATAATAACTTCTGGACAACTTAACCAAATTTTTTATATAGTGAAAGGGTGACGAGCGAGCACACAGTCCACCTGATGGTAAGTGCTTGCTGTGGCCCACAGACATCTACATCTATCCTCGATTACGAATCAAAATGCAGATGAGTTGTCACCTGAGGACTAAGATGGAATGCCTTGTTTCAAGTAAAAATGGTCTTCGGTTCTCTATACTCAACATACAAAACACAGCAGTGTTGAGCTGCTATTTAACGCTGGTATTCTGTGAGAGTGTGGTCCTTCCTCGGTCTAGCCGACCTATTCGTGCTACAACTTTACTACTAATATAGCTGCAGAGTGGTATGTATAATAATTGCACTACATACTATAATGGTAATATGTACAGTTGGGGTCATATTCGCACATGTCTTGTCATGCCTATACTTCAAAAGGTATGCCTATTGATACAACTTATGAATCATCGTCCCATTTTCTATGGCAGGTGTGGCGCTATTATGAACAAATAATTCAATTATTGACCAAAATGACGTATATTCGCAATTATATGTTGGTTAAGGGCCAAAAAGAAAATCATAGTCTGGACATGGAATATTTTATTTTTTACTAAAAAGTGAAATTAGGTCACCAGAAGGAGCAGAACAAAGTCTAGTGTAATATCTAATGCTAGTGTGTAATAATACAATGTAATCTCTATATATAAAAAAACAATTGCTGTAGGTATGTTAGTATCGCTAATACTCTAAAATGGATCGACCGATATTTGATGAAATTTTTTGTGCACATGATGTGTCCCTGGATGGTTTAGATTCACAATTTGACCCGGGTAAGGTTTGAAAGTAGGTAAGTCGCCTGAATTAGGGGGTGGGGTGGGGGGTTGTAGAGTCGTCCCCCACTTCCCCTGCTGGACGTGCTTAGTTTTTTTTATAAATTTTTAAAAATTTCATATTGAAGTTATGTTTTTGACAATATTAACCTGCTTTTTGGGGAGGGAAACCCAACGCCAGTCAACATAGCGCAGTCGAGGGAAGCCCACTCGCAGAGCCCCGCTTCGCTGGACTCCTACTTTCTTTATTTTACACACTATAAGTTGGTAACAAATATTGAATATTTTAAATAAAATGCGTAAAGGTGACACTTCTAAGTGGTTTATAAATAAATAACCACAAAGGGGTAAAATAACCACAGGTTAGGTTAGAAGGGGATGGTGGGATCTATTTGCTCGCTCACTCGACCCCGCCATCCCCTTCTAACCTAACCTTTCCGAATCGGGGTGCCCCAAGTCCCGAGTTCGCTTTTTTACTTAATAATACCAAAATATTAACTTTTATAATTACCTTAATTTATAAACATAATTTATAGCTGCCACCATTTATAAAAAAAAGGATCTTTGCGAAATTTAGCAGTATTCCGCCGTCACAAATAATTCACTGTGTCATCAAAAATCCGTAGATGATAACAATTGTCTTTAAAAAAAAAAAGGTTTCACGACTCTCCATTGTGACTATTTGTTGGGTATGAGTGTCGTCTGGAGCCAAAAATGGATTGTCAGGGTCCGAGTGGTTCACTTATTTGTTAG